AAAGAAAAAAAAGGGGGAGAGAGGAGTGTGTGTCATTAATTTTTAAATAGAAAAAGTACTCGATTTGGTTAAAAGTTAAACCCATTCGTGTTAACTAATTAATAATTGTACTAATTGGTTGTTGGTGTAATGGTGATTGAGGCTGCACTTGGTAGGGATGACCGCGTGTTCGATCCCTCACAGCAACAATTGGGAGGGGACTGAAACCTAACCACTCAGAACTGAGCCCGAATCCGAATTAGCCCAAAGGGTGAAGTGGGTGGAACAACAAAAACAAAAAACTAATTAATAATTGCTATAATGCGTACATATATCATATACAAAGTAGATAGATTTTATGCAGAGCTGTCAATTCGGGTAAACGGGTCGGGTTTGGGTTGGGTTAGCGTGGGTCAGGTCAATTCGGGTTAATGTCGTAACCTATGCGGGTCGGGTTCGGGTTGGGTCATGGTTGAGTCGGGTCACGTCGGGTCATACATCTTATCGGGTTTGGGTCGGGTTACATTCGGGTCGGGTAAATAATAGGTCGAGTTTAATTCGGGTTTTTAAGGGTTAAAACGAGTTAGGGTCATTCTCGGGTTCGAGTCGGGTTCGGCTCAAGTCAATAATTTGCAGGTTATAATCAGGTCGGGTCATTATCGGGTTCGGTTCAAGCCAATAATTTGCGGGGTATAATCAGGTGGGGTCATTTACAACTCGGGTCATGTTCGGGTTCGGGTACATAGAGTAGTTTTAGCCTTACAAAGTTACGACTTTACGAGTAACTTAGAATATATTTAGCATATATTCTCTAATTATTGTATATATCTTTATTTAGCTAGTCAATATCTACTATAATAAAGATGTATACAATATAATTAGAGAATATATGCTAAATATATTCTAACACTTAGAAATGAGGAAATAGCTATAATTAGTCTATGTAAGGAGTCGTATGTATTGAACTTCTCATAGTAACTCGTTTGCACAAGCACACAACTACACAAATGACACACACAAGATGTCATTAATTTCATTTAATATAATCTTCTTATTTGCGTAGCGAACATCATATTCTTAGTAGAAATAATTTAGAAATGAGTACGTAACTATATAACTATATATTGATATGGTGTCTAAATTGAACTTAAGGTGATTTGAAATCGGGTCAGGTCAATAACAGGTTAGATTGAGTTCGAAATGGGTTAAGAACAATACGAGTTGAATTTGGGTCGAGTCAATAACAAGTCGTATTGATTTCGGGTTGGGTTAGTAACAGACCGGGTTGAATTTTGGGTCAAGTTAATAATAGGTCGGGTTAGTAACAGGTCGGGTTGAATTCGAGTCGGGTTAGTAACTGGTCGGGTTAAATTCGGGTTTAACGGGTTAAAACGGGTTTGGGTCGGGTTCGGTTCAGGTCAATAATTTACGGGTTATATTCAGGTCGGGTCATCTTCGGGTCGGTTCATGTTCGGGTTCGGGTCTCAAATACTCGGGTCTAGGGTTGGGTTCAAGTCGGGTCATATCGGGTTCGGGTCACCATTTTTTCGGGTTCAAACGGGTCAGTTAATAATCGGCTTCGGGTAAATTTTTTCGGTTCGGGTCAGCTTTTGACAACTCTAATTTTATGGAAATCAAATGTACAATTATGGGAATAATTAAAATAAAAATAACATGTGTTATACACATAACTTTATACCGAGTAGTTTAATTTCTTGAACCTTTTCAGGCATATCAGCTGGTAGACTACATTGTACGAAGTACAAATTAACTCATCATAATTCATTACTCTTGTGTTCGTAAGGTGACCTCCAAGGGTCATAAACTTTCCGTATTAGGAATTTTGGATAGTTGATGACAATGAGTCAACTCATTGACAGACACTTCAAGGATTTGATCATGTTGTGGTCCCGAATCCAACTCAATAAGTACGAGTACAAGTATTCAGTACTTCGTACTTTGTAGTTACGAGTAAATGTTAGATAAAGTTCTGACATTTGATGATGTTAGATTGAGTTCAAAAAGGCATGTTGTGGTCCCCTTTTTTAAAAATAATAAAGTAGAAATTGTTAAACCACGCCCACAAGACCACAATATTATTAATATTATTAAATTTATTTTTTTGGGTTTTTCTATATAGTAATCCTGTTAATTTCACTTTTCTACGTTGTGTTCTAACATATATCACTTTCTACACTGTAATCCTAATATACATTTTGTTTTCATACGGTAACCTTGCCGTTATTCAGCAAATTCCGTTAATGAGGTCCACTCGATTTGCGCGTTGGAAAACCTTCCGTTAAGCGTTTTGGAGCCTATTTCAGCCCTTGTGGGTACAAAATGAGCTCAGACTTGGCAAAAAATTACTTAAATGCCTCGTTTTGCTTATTAAGAAATGTCTCGACTTACGTGTTCACGTTTTAATACGCACAACGTAGTATTTACGGTAGTTCATTTATTTTAGGAAATTGTCCTTAAAAAAAAAAAGAAAAAAAGGAAACTAGTTACTTCCTCCGTTAATGGTTATTTGCAACAATTGTACCGGTTGCGGAGGCCTAGGCGAAAGTTTTTAAACATGATTATTGAAATATAAGGGGCATATACTTAAGCACTAATCCAAATATAAAAAAAACCCACAATTAATTAAAATCACTAAACAACCAAACCCAGAACCCAGAATCACCACCACCACCGCCGAACCCACCGTAAACCACCACCACGTAAAACACCACCACCACCGAACCCACTGAAAACCCAGGCACCCACTGGAAACCACCACCAAACCCACTGAAAACTACCGTAAACCACCACCACCACCACCGAACCCACTGAAACTCCAGGCACCCACTGGAAACCACCACCAAACCCACTAAAACCCAATGAAAACAACCACCAAAATCCACTGACAACAACCACCAAAACCCCAAAAGCCCCAATTAAACCACCACGACCACGAATTGATGAATTAATTACAATTAAACCACCACCACCACGAAACCGAACACCACGCCACCCACTACCCTACGCAACCCAACACCACGCCACCGACCACCCTCAGAATCAACCACCACAAAACCTAGACCTAAACCCAGACCCACAATCACCGACACCTAGATCCACCCTCGAAACCCACAAAACCTAGATGAAGGAGGAGTGAGATTTTGATGATGAAGGAGGAGATCTAGACCACCACACGCCACCCAGAACCCACGAACCACCATCCACGCCACCCACGAACCCACCGAAAGAAGATGATGAGAGATGATGATGACGATGAACTGAGAAGATGATGGTGATGAGAGATGATGATGACGATGAACTGAGAAGATGATGGTAATGAGAGATGATGACGATGAACTGGAAGATCGAATTGGAAGAAGATGAGAGATGAAGATGGAGGAGAGAGATGAAATCTGCCAAGATATCTGATTTGTTTGGAGGAAAAGCTTAGATAATTAAGTTCGATTAGGGTTGTAGATATGTGTAGTATTATGTGCTAATAATTTTTAAGTGAGGGTATTTTGGTCATTTTGACAGAAAATGTTACTAAATTAGGAAAGAAATAAGTTTGTTGCAATTAATAGTTAGCAACCGTTTTTTATAAATGTTGCAGATAACCGTTAACGCAGGTAGTATATGATTTACCCCGTAATAAACTAGTCATAGGTTTGGTTTCCTAGTAATCGTACAAGTAGTATTTATCTTGTTATTATATTAGTTTCCTGATGTTTTCGCTATTTAATCAAGTTCAATGGACATAAATTCCAAGTAACCTTCAAAAGTACATAAGATTAAAACTAAAATATAGGGGTTTCCATCAGATTTGAAGTCGAGGAATTTCTTTTTGATTTCAGCATTAATTTATTGGTCCGGATCGAAGTTTGTATAAAATCTAAAGGCATGGCCAACTCAAGTGTTCTGGGTCATCCTCTACTTCGTAATTTAAAGGTCAGTTTAGCTTTTATTGGTGTTTTTTAACAACAAAATTGATAGTATTATGGTCACAATTTTGTGCTTTGAATCTAATTTATCGTATTATGGTTTTATTTTTGTGCTTTGTTAGAAACAAAATCGAGGGTTGCCCCAAAAAAAAATCGAGGGTTATGGTTAATTTTGATGCTTTGCAATGTATTCCAATTTAGGGTAACAGTTGTGTGCTTTGCAAATTACAATACGATTGATGGTATTATGGTTATAGTTTAATACTTTGCAACAAACAAATGATAGTATTATGATTAAAGTTTTGTTCTTTGCAACAAACAAAACTGATAGTATTATGATTAAATTTTTGTGCTTTGCAACATGATTTATGTTTTTTTTTTTTTTCAATTGTGTTTGGAAAATTCAGCGATTCAAAAAAATTGAAGAGAAAGACCGGATTAGTGATTTGCCAGATGAACTCCTGTCAAATATTGTGGCAAGATTAACATTGAAGGAAGCAATAACTACTAGCATCCTTTCAAAGAGATGGGCTGATGTATGGGTATCATACCCTATTCTTGACTTTGGATTTCTTAAGAAAACCTATTATACTGAAGTACTTGTGCATAGAGTCAACAAAGTTTTGGAGAAATTTAATGGTGGAAAGTTGCATAAATTCAGGATTGTGCACCCAATGTCTGAGAGATTTAAGTCTCATATTGATGAATGGATTTCCTTTGCAACTCGAAATCGTGTTTCTGAGCTTGAACTCGACTTCGGTGGTTGGCCTAGACATGAAGGTTTTGACAATTATCATGTTCCTCTCCATGTGTTTGCACGAGAAGAGATGATGTTATTAAATCGTTCCTCTCCCAATGTTAGAAGCTTTGTGTCTTTAAGAGATCTCCGACTTAGGTCTGTAAACCTTTCAGACCAAGTATTTGACATAATTTTATACAATTGTTCCTCTCTAGAAAATTTTCATTTGACGCATAATTGTGGGCTAGTTAATGCTAAGAATACAGCTCCTCACCTAAAGCTGAAATCACTGAAGCTGCAGGGTTGTTATGACTTAAATAAATTGGAACTTTTGGCCCAAATCTTGTGTCATTCATGTATGAAGGAGGTTATAAGGTAAGATTATGTATTAAGGATGCTCCACAGCTTGCATCCCTGTGCCTATCAGTTGAAACTGGTTTAAAATCAGATATGCACCCGATATTTCCTAGAGGAAAAAACTTTATTTTCAACCAGTTCTCCTCTTATCTCCCTAAGCTGGAATCTATGGTTGTCTCAGTTGCTCTTTTTGAGGTAAGCAGAAGCAAATTCATTGAGCGTACTGATTTTTCTTATCTTTTGGCTACTTATGCTTACATGATGGATGGGTCTGTCATCTGTGCAGGATATGAGTAATTTTATGGAACTTTGTGTGTTTAGCAATCTAAAAACTCTGGCGTTGGATGCAAATTCATCTTCAATACGACTATGTTGCCAAGTAGCGGCTTTTATAATCAGTGCAGCCCCATACTTGGAGCTACTTGAGCTACATGTAAGTATTTCTTTCACATGTCAATCTGAATTCCCCTATTCCTGGTCCTAATTGATTTTATTTTTTCTTTGCGTGGCTTGTAGCTTTCACCAACAAGAGCTTCTCTCAAGGAAATGGAAGCACTAGAATTGCCGTCTATGTCTCCACATAAGAACCTTAAAGAGGTCAAGTTGTCTGGCTTTAGAGCCGATGTATATACCATAGACTTTCTTGCCTATCTTGTTGAATGCACCGATTCTCTCCAGAAGATTAATCTCAGTGCATATGCTACTGATAGGTCTGGAGATGAGTTGTTTGTGCAAAACCGTTTAAAATGGAGGGCAGATGAGGCTGAAAATTGCAAGATATGTGTGCAGGAACTCAGGAAAATATTGTATACAAATGTCCAGCTGATATTTCATGATTAGTAGTGGCTGAATTGTCCACTTATTTTTTTTTATTATTTAACTAAAATATAAAAATACTGTAAATTTAGCATTTATTTGTGTTTTCTGCTTATAGAATTATGTAATCAGCCAGTGCCAAAATTGTTTCAATAATTACCCTTTTATATTATGGAGTTATATGCCATTTTCAAAATTATTTATCAGTTGAAAAGCATTCTGAAGTTTGAACTGAACTTTTAGATAAAGACACAAGGACAACATAATATAATTAGCAAAACACCCTTCTTATGTCCGAAATTATATCAAGGATGCAGAATGAGTTAACTAATTCTATCAGTTAAAACTTGTTTAGAATCAGATATGCATGCAATATTTCCTAGAGGAGAAAACATTTTTTGAACCAGTTCTCTCCTCTTATCTCCTTAAGTTGGGAGTCTGTACTTGTCACGGTTACTCTCTTTAAGGTAAGCAGAAGCAAATTGATTTTGGCTTCTGAATTTTCTCATCTCTTTATCACATATCTTATGGATGGGTCTGTCATTTTTGCAGGATATGAGTAATCTTATTACTCAACTGTGTATTCAGAAATCTACAAAAATCTGGTGTTGGATGGATTTCTTGCATCTTCAATACGACGACTGTGCTGCCAAGTAGCTGCTTTTATAATCACTACTTGGAGGTACTTGAGCTATATGCAAGTATTTATTTCACATTTCAATCTGACCCCTAATCCTGCATTCGGTTTGCATGTGAATGCTGAATGGTATTCTCTTGACTTGATTAGTAGTAAGTGTAGTGGTTTAACAATGAACTATGCACTGGAATTGCCTTCCATGTCTATGCTGAAATTTCCAGGTATTGTGTGCTGCAATTCAAGACAGTTTTGCACCATAAATTATGTGCTAACATAAAAGGCTGTGACCAATTACCTTAATTTTCCAGCTTGAAACATTCATTTTAGACGTTATTATTCTTATTATACTAGATTATATTCGTATTTGCTACCTTTAAACATTAACTTCCACTAGTTTCACATAGAGTAAAACGATTATATATTCGTTATAATGAGTTTTGACAATAATTTTTTTTTTTTTTATTTTTTATAATTATGTCATGAATATAGGCCAAATCAATTCAAGCATTTGGGGTAAACTAAAAAAACATAGATAATGCATATTCGGCCTAAGTAGGGGGTGCTAATCGAGTGAGTCGATCACGAGTTGAAGGGTGCTCGACTCAACTCGAATTTTTTTTACATGGGCTCAACTCGTGTTCGCTACTCGCTAAGCACATTAGTACTCGTATCGTCTAGTAGCTCGCGATATGCTCATTAAGGTTTTGGTCAATGTAAAATTATATCTATGCCTTTGTTTTTCCCACTTTATATAAGTTTTCTTTTTATTTATCTATTATTAGAACTTTACTCATTAATTTTTTGATGATATAAATAAACTCTTATTAAGTGTCAAATTTTTTTAATCATGAAAACCGTGTTTAAATTTTATATTTCTAAAATATATTATCAAGTTGCTCACGAGCCTATCGAGTCGAGTCAGAGCTTGCCTTTAAATTCATGCTCGTTAACGTCTTGAGTCGAGCTGAACATGAGTCAGCCAACTGAAGTCAAATTTTGACCGAGTTAAGTTCGAGTTGCTCGCGAGCTACTCAACTCAATTAGCACCCCTAGGTCTAGCCGAAAATCCAAAAAATAAGGTCTGACCATCTAGATTCGAGTAAGCCAAATTTGAAATTTCACCCGTATAACGTATCAACATCCTAATTTCTCATAACCGTTACTCTTTTTTTTTTTCTTCAAAAAAAAGGAACTCAAAACCGCTAATTGATGTTGAGAAACACTATAATTTCTTCTAAATAAGTAAATAACAACAACCACTACCGACATGGTAGATCGAATGATCGATTGAGAAAAATAATTTTAAATTTCCGTCAAAAATTCCCCAAACCCAAAATCATCTTCTTCACTCTCACTCTCATTTTACACTCAAATACACCTTTTCTCTGATAATTGCAAAAACCCAGATTCTGAAATTCGGGTTTGAATCATCCATTGAAAAGGGTATATTGAGATCTCTGAAGAAGTGCAACAATGGCGGTTGCTGAGAGAGGAGGAAGAGGTGGGTCCGGGTCGGGTTTGATGGGTATACGAAGCATAATGTCATACCCGATATTCCGTCATATTCTCTCTCCTCTTCCTTGCTACTCTTAACTCTTCTTCACATCTTCTTATCCATCTTCTTCAGATCCTGTATGTTTTCTTTACTCTTGAAAGTTGCTGCCTTTTTTTATTGTTCTTATTGATTTTATGATTTATGATGCTGTTTTTGTGCTTGTTACATGATTTTATTAGCTCATTGAATTTGTTGGATTTTGTTTTTTTTTTTAAATTTTTTTTTACTTTTTAGAATCAGATTCTGTTAATTTAGACAGTAGTGAGTGATTATGTAGGGAAAATAATTCATTTAATTGAAATTGAGTTTCTTTTCTTTTAAATAGTGTACATTGAACTGACTATGAAGACTGAGCTTGTTCTCTGTTAATGGGTGGGATTTTGCAGTAGAATGTGTTTGAGGAATATTTGGAAAAAATTGCTGGATAGATTTGTTAAGGGGAATGTTAGGGTTTGTTTAATTGTTTTCTCTCCTATAGTTTAGAATGGATTAATGGAGGGAGTGGAATTTTGATGTGAAAATGGTATGTAGTTTTGTAGGATAAACATGAACCTAGCTTGCTCTCGTCTCCTGTATGTTTTATTATCGCGGCTAGATAAATTGGTGGCTGTTGGAATTTGTACAGATTATGGAGATTGGAATTGGATTTTTTCTTATGATTTGGTGGCTGAAACTGGAATTGCCAACAATTGGATTGCATTTATTCATCGGTCATTTTTAGCTTTGAAGTTAGATCCGCTGAGAACTAGGCTGGACTTGATTTACAAACAAGCCCGTGATCATTTCATGCTTGTTAATTAATGCCTATGCTGCCTATGCACAACAGCTGAAACTCGGGGTAGCTAAAGTTTTTTGATGAGTTAGCCCAGAATTTTTAAAAATACGTTGTCTAAACTAGCTTGCTGTGCTGCTTTGTTTGAGACTAAAGGCACTGTGGATGAGGATGTCTTGAGGCAATTTGAGAAGGAAGTGAAGGTTGCAAGGTTGATGATTGATTGCTGAAGTGAAAGAGTCGTATGACAATCAATTAAATTGCACCACAATGTTTATGAGCAGTTTGTTAAAGCGAAAAACGAACGGTGCAATTACAAGCTACATTGCTGCGAAATCTGTGCCTAAAAGTTAGCATTCTCTTGCTTGAGGTTTGTTGTAGAGAGATTTGCCCAAGTATCAGGATGAAGAGCCGAAACCTGAGTTTGAGGACCCAACCTTGTATCATTATGCGATATACTCAGAGATTGTCATTGCTGTATCAGTTGTTATGTATTCAGTGGTGAAGAATGCAAAAGAGCCATGGAAGCATGTTTTCCATGTGGTGATAGATAGGAAGATTGTTGCGGCAATGAAGGTTTGGTTCAAGATGAGACTTTGCACAGGGGGAGCCCATGTTGAAGTGAAACCAATGGAAGACTTTCAGTGTCTGAGGATAAGCATTCACCAACAAGACCAGCCAAAAAAAAAAAAAAAGACCAGACAAAGCGAACCCATCTTATGGACCATTGCTTAGACTGGTTGAATCAGCAAAGTCACAAACTCATGACTCTGAGAACCAGGCATTAAATGCTACTAAAGATACCAAGTAGTTGCCGATGCTCAATCATTTCTGATTTTACTTGCCCCAGATGTATCCTGACCTGCACCATATTGTGCTTTTGGACGGTGATGTTGAGGTTCAGAAAGATTTGACTGATTTATGGAACATTGATCTAGATGGTAAGGTGAATGGTGCTGTTGAGAGTTACTTTGGGTCCTTCCATGGGTACTCATAGTACTTGAACTTCTTTCATAATCTAATTCGGGAGGACTTCAACCCCAAAGCCTGTGCAAGTGTGCATGGGCTTATGGGATGAACATATTTGGTCGGATGCTTAGCTTGGAGGCGTGAGAAATGCACAGAGCAGTACCATTAGTATTACTGGCAGAACTTGGTATGATTATGTCTCCCTTCTGAGCTTTGTGTATTTTACTTCAATATTTATATTTCTATGCTAATGCTCAAGTGTCTTGAGCTGGATCCTCTTTTGACTTCATTGCTCACATGATGTTTTCTAGAATGAAGACCATATCATGTGACAGCAAGGAACCCTTCCAGCTTGCTTGGCTACATTCTACTCGAAAACAAAGACATTTGACAAATCCTGACATGTCCTTGGGATTGGTTATAATCCTAGTGTGAGAATTACTAATGCAGCAGTCATGCATTTTAGTGGGAGCATGAAGCCTTGGCTTGATATTGAAAATGAATCAATAGAAGGAGCTATGGAGCAAGTATGTGGATAATGACATGGAATTCGTGCAGATGTGCAATTTTGGCCTGTAAGTGTTTACAATTCCCCTATTTCAGAAACAAGGTAATTAAAAAGTTTTAAATAGTCAAAGGTTCATCCAAGTTACTCGTACATGTTTGTTCTGCTTGCAAACCCCTCAGAAAAGTTTAGTTATGCTAACTCCATTCTTTTATTTCCATACCATAATGGTCTTACCCTGCTTGGATAATTATATATACAGATTTACGGATTGTATATTTGTAAAGACATGTGAGTGGATTTGCAAATATGTATACACCAATTTTTACCAGTGATTATGATTGCCTTGCTGTTAGTTCTTCTTAGTTGTATGTAAATGACTTTACAATAGCATAACAATTTAGATGTAAATGTAAACACCCTGATGTAAATGCATTCTTTATGCTGTGTTGAAGGAATTATCTTACTAATCTCAGTAGCATTAACAATTTCAACTAAGATATATGAACCAAGTAAGTAGATCACATAAAGCTATAGTCTATCATACTTATCTCCACATCCCACTTTGATAATCACCGCTCCTACACCCTTGGAACA